TACCAACATAGTACCAATACACAATAAACATAGTACCAATACATAGTACCAATACACCATCAACATAGTTCCAATATAATACAACATACTACCAATTCATCATCAACATAGTACTAATACACCATCAATATAGTACCAATACAACATCAACATAGTACCAATACACCGTCAACATAGTACCAATACACCATCAACATCGTACCAATGCACCATCAACATAGTACCAATACACCATCGACATAGTACTTACATACTACAACATAGTACCACTACACCATTGACATAGTACCAATACACCATCAACACCGTACCAATACACCATCAACATAGTACCAATACAACATCAACATAGTACCAATATATTACAACATACTATAAATACACCATCAACATAGAACCAATACACCATCAACATAGTACCAATGCACCATCAACATAGTACCAATACACCATCGAAATAGTACTTACATACTACAACATAGTACCAATACACCATCAACATATTACCAATATATTACAACATACTACAAATACACCATCAACATAGAACCAATACACCATCGACATAATACGAAAAACACCTTCGACATAGTACCAATACACCATCGACATAGTACTTACATACTACAACATAGTACCACTACACCATTAACATAGTACCAATACACCATCAACATAGTACCAATTCACTACAACATAGTACCAATACGACATCAACATAGTACCAATACACCATCAACATAGTACCAATACACCATCAACATAGTAACAATACACCACCAACATAGTACCAATACACCACCAAAATAATACCAATACATCATCAACATAGTACCAATACACCATCAACATAGTACCAATACAACATCAAGATGGTACCAATACACCATCAACATAGTCCCAATACACCACAAAAATAGTACCAATAAATCATCAACATAGTCCCAATACACCATCAACATAATACTAATACACCATCGACATAGTACCAAACACCATCAACATAGTACCAATACACCATCCACATAGTACCAATACGACATTGACATAGTACCAATACACCATCAACACCGTACCAATACACCATCAACATAGTACCAATATATTACAACATACTACAAATACACCATCAACATAGTACCAATACACCAGCAACATAGTACCAATACACCATCGACATAGTACTTACATACTACAACATAGTACCAATACACCATTAACATAGTACCAATACACCATCATCATTGTACCAATACACCATCAACATAGTACCAAATCACCATCAACATAGTACCAATACAACATCAAGATGGTACCAATACACCATCAACATAGTACCAATACGACATTGACATAGTACCAATACACCATCAACACCGTACCAATACACCATCAACATAGTACCAATACGACATCGACATAGTACCAATACGACATCTACATAGTACCAATACGACATCAACATAGTACCACTACACCAATAACATAGTACCAATCCAACATCAAGATGGTACCAACACACCATCAACATAGCACCAATACACCATCAGAATAGTACCAATACACTATCAACATAGTACCATTACCCCAATAACATAGTACCAATCCAACATCAAGATGGTACCAACACACCATCAACATAGAACCAATACACCATCATCATTGTACCAATACACCATCGACATAGTACTTACATACTACAACATAGTACCAATTCACCAACAACATAGTACCAATACACCATCAACATAGTACCATTACACCAATAACATAGTACCAATTCACCAACAACATAGTACCAATACACCAACAACATAGTACCAAGACACCATCAACATAGTACCAATTCACCAACAACATAGTACCAAACACCATCAACATAGTACCAATACACCATCAGAATAGTACCAATACACCATCAATATAGGACAGTACTTATTACATAATCAACAAAGTACCAATACACCATCAACATAGTACCAATACACCATCAGAATAGTACCAATACACCATCAATATAGGACAGTACTTATTACATAATCAACAAAGTACCAATACACCATCAACATAGTACCAATACATCATCAACATAGTAACAATACACCATCAACATAGCACCAATACACCACCAAAATAGTACCAATACATCATCAACATAGTACCAATACACCATCAACATAGAACCAATACGACATCGACATATTACCAATACACCTTCAACATAGTACCAATACATCATCGACATAGTACCAATACACCATCAACATAGTACCAATACAACATCAAGATAGTACCAATACACCATCAACATAGTCCCAATACACCACAAAAATAGTACCAATACATCATCAACATAGTACAGTACTTATTGCATAAACAACATAGTACCAATACACCAACAAAATAGTACCAATACACTACAACATAGTACCAATACACCATCAACATAGTACCAATACACCATTGACACAGTACTAATACACTACCAACATAGTACCAATACACAATAAACATAGTACCAATACACCATCGACATAGTACCAATACACCATCAACAAACTACCAATTCACCAACAACATAGTACCAGTACACAATCAACATAGTACCAATACACCATCAACATAGTACCAATACACCATCAGCATAGTACAATACACCATCAACAGGGTACCAATACGACATCGACATAGTATCAATACACAATCAACATAGTACCAATACACCATCAACATAGTACAAATGAACCATCAACAAAGTCTTAAACACACTATCAACAGAGTCCCCATTATCCGAATACACAAACAACACAGTCCCTATGATTATAAATGTGAACAAGAACCAACATAGTCCTTATTGTCCTTCTACGTCAGCAATATCGTCACCATTATCATCAGGCACCATACTCATATTGTAATCGTCTAATGCACTATCACCATGTTCTCCATTTTCCTCATTTAGTATACAATACAAGTACAAACATAGGACTCATATGCTGAATCACTGGAAAATATACATAAAATGTTGTTTTTTTTTAAATATCCGGTCATTATATTTTACAAATAAATGACGAAACCAGTAGGACCTTGTCAGTAAAGACAAACAGGTACACATCGTCACGTGATAGTTAAAGTCAACAATACATGAGTTTTACAATATCAATAAAACAGTATCTGTTAAACAACAATCCTAAAAAGTAATCTTGCTATATTTGGCATATTGGACACTAAGTTTAATATAAGTTTACAAGATTTAAACAAAATTGTAAACCTTAAACCGTGTCACACAGCACATTGAAAGCAATGTAACAATTTAAGAAAAAATTCTAGCAGAAATCCATTATTGCCTATTTTTCGAAGAATACTGGAGTAAAGAGTCCTTCATCATAGTCACCAGTGTCTTTATATACCACCAAAATAGTCATCATTGTTTTCATACACCATCGACACATTTCGTATGTTTTCAGACATTCCCCGACGAAAAATAGTAACGTATATTATGATAGTCACATTGTTTGTTTTCTGTTGCTTAAAACCTACTGATGGTGATTAACATATTTTATTATTACAGACATGGTTACCTCATTGTTTCTCTTCAATAAAATCCTTCTGATATGTTTTGCAAATACCTCATGTTCCAGACATTTTAGCAAAAAAAAACACAATTTACCGGAAACTGTTAAAATTCAAACCGTAAGCCATTTGTAAATTAGTATCACAAAGAACAGTCAGTTAAATGATATTGCCACTCTGTTCACTGTAACATGTCCACGAATATTAACGCCGAGAAGTCAATCACAAAGAACACGATACATTGTCCTCCAAGTCACAGTAACCGTCACATTCATCTTCAACACTGAGCTTGAACCTCAGCAACACGTTGCACATGTCCTCGTGCATGACCTTGTTTTCATCGCACTCGATGAATAGGTCACACCTGTTTGGATGATTGTAGAAACAACTGGCATTTCTACTAGCGCAAAAAGCTGGAATTAATAAAATCAATTTTAAGATATAATCTTTTTGTATGAAGTATAATTTGATTATCTAGCATGGATCAATAAAACCATGATACTTGAAATTCAAATAAATAAATACAGTTACTTCATTATTTACCCAAACGTTTGTACATATACAAATGTAGTATGTTCATAGCATTGTAAAACAATATACATCAAAAACATTTCCCGTGTTTCTATTGGAAGAGGCTTTCGATTGATATTTGTTTGTACACTGATATATCTATGTTTAATATTATTATTTCTGCCTTTCTATATGTTAAGATCATGAGATGATCAGTTAATTCAGTTTAGATATTAATTATCAATTCATCATTCGACTGAATTCTTTGTTCTAAGCAGGCATTTAAGACACATTCTTTTGTAATTTTCAACTTCAACCAATATTTCAAAAATCCCTTTTTCTTTCAATATATAAAGGGAACCGTCCTTATTCAAAATACGTTTTTCTACTTTAGTAAGCAAAATGTTTTTTTGTTTTATTAAATTTACCGTTATAAGTGAATAACATTCCAAGGTAGTTAAATTCATCAACCACTCGTATATCTACATTGTTATATAGCCGCTTTTATTCAGATCGCTGTCTACACCCATTTATAAAGGTTGGATTATTTTAAAGCGGCCTGAGTTAATTATTTTTACCAACATTTTCTCACTCCGTTATATATTCCACCATAATGCACGCACATATGTTGATTAATTCTTAAATAGACTATACAATATCGGTGACAAATTTCTCCTTGAAATAATCCAAATAATCCAATACATGTTGATCAAACCTTTTTTCTAGTGATCGACAATTTTCTCTAATAAAACACATTTCACAGTCATTTACAAATAGACTATAAAATATCGGTGACAAATTTCTCCTTGAAATAATATAATCTTGTTTTGGTAGTATCCTGACAAAATTCTATCATATTTGATACAAGATTTAACATTTTCATATAAAGATTGTATGATTTTCAACATTTTCCGATCCATTCCCTGTTTAAACAGTTTGACCATAAACAACTTCTTTCAATCAAATCAAAAGGGTTTTTGTAATCAATGAAGCAGCAATATAATCTTTTCTTCTGTTTCAGCGGTTTATTAATTATTGTCTGGAGCACAAAAAAATAGCATCTATCGTCGAAAAACCAGGTTTAAAACCAAATTGAGCATCTGCTATAATGTTGAATGTTTTATGCCACTTTAATAATCTTTTATTAATCACTGGTGTAACAATGAAAAACGAGCTCTGTCACACTTACAATTGAAACCAATAGAACAATTTGAAACAATACTCCTTTTGTATATTTTTCGCAAAATATTTGAGAAAGTAGTCCTTCAACATAGTCCTCAGTATATGTTTATACTATTAAAATAATCATCATTGTTTTCATACACCAAAAACACGTTTCGTATTATTGCTCTTCAATATTGTCCTCATTATATGTATTGCAAATACGTCATGTTATAGATAATATAGCCAGAAACACAATTTACAGAGAAAAAAACATATCATATCACAATGAATAGTCATTTCAACAATATTACCGCTCCGTTCACTGTAACATATTCACGAATATTCACGCTGAGAAGTCATTCACAAAGAACATGGAACATTGACCTCCCTGTCACAGTCTCCTTTACATTCATCGTCGACCCTGACCTTGTACCACATCAACACGTTGCACATACGCTCGTACATGACCCTGTTTTCATCGCACGTGATGTATAGGTCACACCTGTTTGGATGATTGTAGGAACAACTCGCATTTCTACTTGCGCAAAAAGCTGGAATTAAAAACAAATTGAGATATATTTTCTATGTCTTAAGTTGATTATATAAAAGGATAAATGAAATCAGGAAACTTGAAATTCCAAATCAGTGGTTGATACAATTTCTTTATTATTTAGTCAATCGATTGTTCATATACAAATGTAGTATGCTCATATTATTTGAAAAGTAACCGAATCAAAAACGCTTTCTCTTATTGTTCTTGAACATGGAAGAAACTTTGATTGATATCTGTTTGTACACATACACCTATTTGTTTGAATCAATATATATGTACAACAACAATTGTACTTACGTTCTGGGCAGGTCTTTGAGTTTTCACAAGTCTGCATGTCTGTGAACGTCGGATGATTCCATCCGCATTCCTGTCCGGTAAATGTGCTGTCACATGTCCTGTTCCTAGTCTGTATCCCGCTGCCACACGTAACGCTGCACGCACTCCAGTCTCCCCAACTGTCGTAACATTTGAACCTGTGTTTACACACTTCTGTTTCTGATTTAGTCCCAATACATTCACCGCCAGCAGAGTCGTCACATATTCTCGTTCTGCTTGACACACCTTCGCCACAAGACACGGAACAGTCAGTCCACTCCGTCCAGGTTTCCCAGACACCAGGAGGGGGACAGGTCACTTTACTACAAGATGACGATTCAAAGTCATGTCCATCACAGTCCAGGCCCCTGTGTTCAGGAGCAGGATTGTCACAAACCCGTGTTCGATTCTTAATACCACCACCGCAAGTTGTTGAACAGTCACTCCATGGCTGCCAGGAACTCCAACTACCGTTAATTGGACAGTGTATGATCATACACACTTCACTATCCGTATCAATACCGTCACATTCCTCACCACCAAACGCTGGAACAGGATTATCACATGCTCTGTTGCGGGTCCTAGTACCATTGTCACAAGCTGCGGCACAGGAACTCCATCCCAACCATACACTCCAATTTCCGTTAATTGGACAGTTTATTAGCATACACACTTCACTATCTGTATCAATACCGTCACATTCCTCACCACCAAACGCTGGAACAGGATTATCACATGTTCTGTTGCGGGTTCTAGTACCATTCTCACAAGATGCGGAACAGGAACTCCACGGCAACCATACACTCCAATTTCCGTCCACAGAGCAGTTAGTAAGCTTGCAACTCTGGTTTTCTGAAGCCGCGCCTTCGCAGTTGTTTCCATCAAATGACGGAGGAGGGTTGTCGCAGGTTCTGTTTCGGATCATGACACAGTTACCCCAGGAAGCAGAACAGTCACTCCATGTCTGCCAGTCATTCCAGGTTCTATTTACCGGTGGCTGTCCTTCCTGTGCACCTGTGGGAATGATTGTGGTAAATATTGCTCTATTTTAGATGTATATATCAAAAAAGTAATGATTATATATCAAAACAAATATCGATATGAACGCAATACCGAAATTTGAAATACCCTTCTAGAAACACCTAAGATGTTATAAAAATTATATAAAGACAGTACTGAACATGATTTTGCTCAAAGTTCCAAAGACAAAAATGACCTTTTAGTGTTCATTTTACAATGAGCATCAGTGTTCATATACCTGCTGTTGGATTATCTTCCTTGAAAACCACAAAGTAGAGTGTAGGCGCAATGAGTGCTGCAAGCAGGACTGAAAGTACCACTAGAAGGATAGCAATTACCGCTCGATACGATCGGACTGTCTCCTGAAATAGACGATTCAACGATTCATTTGCCTAATTCCACACAATCTGCCCGTTGCAAAAAAGGCCTTGCTTTGTGCAACTTTCTAAGATAATTTTCATACAATCAAATACAAGAATATTTGGTATTTTGTGTTGTTACATCTTTATCCTTGCACTTATTAATGAGAAAAAAAATCAATAAAATAGTTGAAAGTACTCACCTGTGGTGACCTTTCATCGAGATAGTCGTAAATATGCTGATCCTGTAATACAATTATATACATCCTTTTAATCGGGACATTCTTTCACTTATGCGATATGATTATATATTTTTGATGATTAAAAATATTACTAAAGTATGATATTTATTCGTGTCTGTTAATAGAAACTATAATAGGGATTATTTGGCAACGAAGTGTGGGCAACAGATGAGGACATAAATACCTGTAACAGAGGAAACTCAAAATATCAGACAATTCAAAACAAATGCGTAAATGCCAACATACGTCAATTGTTGAGAAGATCCGCTGGACCAGCATGCAAGACAGAATTTCAAACACGCCAAATATATTACGCATCAAATAATTACTAGGGCTTGTGAAGTGTATGATGGCTCTACCAAAGTGGGGTTAAGTAAACTGAGTTTGAAGAGTTCAAAAACGAAACTTGACGTAAAATAACCTCGGAACTCCCAAAATATGAATGCACGTTGTAGAGTTGTCCATTGATAAAGTCATGGTTAGTTAATTGGCATCTTCTGCTTATTATCCCTTAGGTAAGCTGTAACTTACACAAACAATTGTCGCTGGAATCTACTGTGATGTTTTGCACGAAATAATAAAAAAACATTATTCGTTGCAGCTACAAATGGTGAAAGAAACGTTATCATGGGTTTTGTATGGACCATTTACAATTTCGTGATAACTCTACATATGTTTCGTAGCATTTTTATATTCATTTTTTTGACCAAATTGTACCACTGATGAGTTCTGATTGGACAAAGTGGCAATATGTGTTGCAGTAATTATGTTTTGCTATCTCTGCATTAACTTTTTTATTTTATTCAGGGGGCTACATAATTGCGGATAGTCTTTTTTATGAAGGTGAATCTCTTATAACAATGAACAACCTTAATGTAATTGAGCATTGGTGTATTTTAAGAACTTACGTTGGATTGTTCCACATCTCGAGAAGAAACAGAACCAGTCTGTCAATGAAAGTACAAAAACACATCATATATCATTTGCTATTAAACCCGCACTCTTTCTCGAATGCCATTTGATGACTTCAGTCTTTATATGTTTTTAACCTTAGAGAAACGCATACCACATTGGCTGATACAATTAGACATACATGTAAGGACGCTTTTTTGTATATAATGAATAATAAATAATAATGAAGAGCCACAACATGATTAACACAGAAATGATGAAAAACTGATATGATTCAAAATATAGGCATTGTGAAGTTGCACACATTAAGTGATGAACATTTGGAATCAGTTTGTAAGTTAAGGTGACCTTCCCATAATTTATCATTTTAATAAATCGTGATGAATCATAATATACTTTCGACTGTTACTTACATGTGTCTCCTACATTTCAAATTTACAATCGGACACAAGTATTCATAATTATCTATATTGATAAACTGCTGGCAATTATTTTCAAATCTTGCTGAAGCTTTAGTACACGTTAATTTTCAAATGCATAATGAAGACGGTATATTATACTTACGTTGAGGGGATTCACACCTCTAACAGAACAATAGGTAGAAGCATTCTATAAATTGAGAAAATGTGAATATCATTTATCAATCAATTGATGTCGTTGTTATCGTCTTTGGTTATGAAACAAAGATATAACATCGTACATGCACAATCAATGCTAACAAATATAACTGACTAATAGTGCCACGGATAAGGTCGGTATTTTGTAACTTTATGTATCTCACGTTAAATGGAAATCATATGCAAACAAAAGTTTTATTCCGCTACATTATAAACCAAATTTGTAAAATAAGACAAACTATCAATTGCTTCATTGAAAAGCAATGCTTGTATAGCATATTTATCGTTTCTGATACATGTTGAAGGGTAATATTATAAATTGTTTGCATAGCATTGTATCTATAAAATTCAGAAAAACAAACTATTGTTTTTGTCATACTTCCATGTGCATAGTAAATAATGTTTCTTTTGGTAATCAATCTATGACAAATTAAATAATTTTACATAAATGTTTGTGAAGGGAAAAGCGAAAGCGATTTTTTTAAATGCTATTTGTCGTTAGGTTTTGTTTTATCGCTGTATATGACAAGATACTCATTTTAAAAACACCGATGGGAAATGACAAATGCATATCATACTTACTGAGAAAGTGTCTGATCTGATGGTATTGTACTGAAAAGGAAAACATGTCATGAACACATATTTCTTTAACAAAATACTTTTGTTTCATCTTAATTTAAAGATCAAATGCTCAATTTTTTAGGTTTCGATTTGATATATCAAGAGGTATAACCATCAATGCTAATAAGGCTGACTTTGTTTTAATACACATACAAGAAATGAAATATGGAAAAGATTATTTAAGGTATTTTATCCTGGTAACAATTATAATCAGTCAATTCCATTTGATTATATTTATGCATCCCTGATATTCGTTCGTAAATCCTTGATTGTAAATCTATTTCAGTCGGATGATTAATATTGTTCACTTAGTTGTCCCTTGTTCACGATTTGTCTGTCACCTCCTAAGATATGGTTTATCTGTCAACCTTATGGTATGACAGATGGCACGCGGCAAAAAAGTACAATAGCAACCAGGAAACAATAAATTAAAACGTCACAATCAGCTTGAATGCCTGGCTCTCAGCTTGATACAAGCTGCGGGTTACACAGTCGGGAATATACAGCAAAACTGCATTTGAAACTCTGAAAGCACCTTCCTGTTTACATTTGATACCTTAAGTAGACGACACGGATATCTATAATGGTAAGATGTTATTGCGAAAATCGATATAGTTTCAACAACTGAAATATTAGTTTTTTGGTTCATATCAATGCAATCACATACATCGAAACCATTTGTGCACTGGCTGCAGGTAGTTTGTCTGGTCATGAATTGATAAGTAGTGATCCCTGTGTGGAACACAACGTGAACGGTAATGTTGGTGTCATAAGCAGGTGGTGGTATGTAAACCTTAATCAATTGAGACAGGTCATTCAAATACCAAATTCCGTAGAGTACGTATTAAAATAAACCAATAAGTCTTTTCGTTGATTGTCGATTTGTTTTATATATTAAAGATTGTACTGGGTGTCGGCAGTATGCAATGCCTTGTATTATTATGGACAAATAAGAAATGTATTGGTAAAGACTTTTGTCATCATACTTATAGTTACTATTATAAATGCATAATACATTTTATCAATATGGTCGTAGTCTATATCACCAACGTATATATTTAGGGCGGGTTTGGCATAAACACTTATAACTACTCAGAATCAGGTGGCATCAATAATCAGGCATAACTATTCATATTGGTGGTCGGATTAAACGCGGATTCCCATAATGTATGTAATGTTATAAATCATGTTTTTTTACACATATTAGGACATACCAGTTGTTTGACGGATACGACTTTGATTTTCAAGATGCATGAGGGAAACTGTTTTAATTTAAATGACTTGAACGTGACTTTATCGATGTGTTATTGGTAGTATTTTGATTTATGGTTTATCTGACGTGAAGTTTTTTTAGATTTATATGTGTGTTGAATAGCAGCCCTATTTAACTATTTTCAAGTTGATTCACTGATATAATTCGGCAGGTATTTGAAGAGTAGGATTTTGATTTGAAAGTTATATAACGGAAAGTAATTGAATTTACTCGATATATAAGGGGGGATTCACAAGACTTATGACACCAAAGACTTACAGGGCGTATGACGGGTGTAAATCGTTTTTACTGAATGCACGGCAGATTTACACAACACTTAATACATCTACTTTCTATAAAATAGTATTGATGTTGTAATCGACAAGAGGCCAAAATACGGAATGTATTCTTAGTGCTTTTGATAATTTATACTGACAAATAATCATGTAGGACATACTGGATACGGTCGGTCGCTTGATAAGTCACAATTTAATATATGTCCTTTGAATGAGATACTCAGCCTCATCAGTATACTAACTGGGCGTTTGAGTTAAAGTGAAAGTGAGTTTATGCAAATAGTGTAACATTTAGTAAATATCAGTGCCAGTGGTGTTCATGTTGTCCATTGTACTGATTTACGGGGTACGTCAAGTCGATGTCCCTTACGATACAGCAAATTTATGTTTGACCACTTGAATTGTTCGGGAAAGACCTGCTAAAAATAGCGCCGATAACGACAACTGACTAGACAGTAAACACAAGTGGTCTGAGCGACATGAAATGGTTTCCAAAGGGGCCCCCAGGCAACTGCAACTTCTTACCGCACTATGAAACCAAGTAATATGATTTCTAAGTCCGTATTCAAACTTATTTAACAGTAATTATTCATCATCAGAAAATAATTGAACGCTTGCCAATATTCAGAATTTAAACATATTTGTTGCCAATAAAATTGAACAAGAGATGGGGCACAAGTTTTTACAATTTATCACAGCCTTCTCCCGTCATACATTTACAATTAAATGTCAACAATGATAGTAGGCATAAACATAAAGTAAATATATATTAATATATATATTGAATTTATTACCGGAATGTGACCGGTACAGATGGTACGGGGCTAAACGCATTCTCTCAACCATGGGAAAAACCTTTCTGTAAAAAGGAATATTTACGAGACGAATATCCTTTTTCAAATGTTTTCATAAATTGCATATATGCAATGACAAACTACACGCGTATAAAAAAGAGAAACGTTTGTGATTTGTTTTATTACATTGTACAACTCAATGTCTTTGGCCAATTATTTTTTCTAGACCATGCATATACATTTATGTATACTCTCTTTTCCACTTTCACTGTCACCATACGCTAACACTTATAATTAGTAAGTCATATTAGCCATCACACACAATAAACTGTATGGCAATACCACTACGTGTACATGTAGAATGTGTCAGATATGGAACGTGTTGAGATACTTGATAATTACATTTTTTCAATACTTTACATAGATTAAAGCATTCTTGTAATTGAGTTTTTTTTATGTTGAGACAACTATTCTTTAATCATTTCTTTTTTTGTCCGAAACAGAAGCCGTAGTTATCGGCAGCACGCGTCATTTTTACATCGTAAACAAACGTTTTTCCCCTGTTTTGATTATTTATAGAGAAAAGGTTGTTACATGCTCATACATTCTAAGTCAACATCATATGAAAACATGAACTGTTGAAAAATTACGATTTAAAAAACAAATGTTAGGCGATCCTATTTACTAGAAGTAGGTTCTCCTTCCTCAGTTATTCATACTGGTCCGTCATTTTGAATCTAGCTGCGATAACGTAGCTTTCTGACGAAGAGCGATTTTTTATATATTGCGTCGTCGCGCCAGAGGAGGCCGGGTATTCATATTAGTACTAATTTAAATCTTGCATGATAAAACAACAAAAAATCGTTTAATTCAGCAATATAATTAAAATCATACCATTTTGCTGAACCTGGTTTATATTATAAATTATGTAAATCTAATAGCGCACGTATCTCATTTGACCCCGAGTACCGACAGAGGAGAGAACAGAATACGCCCAGGCCATTATAACAGTTATCCCTTGGAGGGCCTCATGGCAAAATCAAACTAACCAGTCACTTATCCCTTCCTTTCGCATAAACCACTGTATAATTATAGAAACACAAAGTAAACTCTCCGATACATGCCCATTAACATATTAAACTATGTTCATCTGTGTTCAAACTCAGACAAAGATACTAGCGAGGTTAATAGTTTAAGACATTTATTCATAACATAAACAGCGCTAGCATTACTGTCGATTCCATTTGAACTTAACCGGCTATCCGGAAGAATACATGCACCGTACTAACTGCTAGGGCAGGTATTTTCCCCTTTGAACATTTCCCACTAGACTGGCCACCGTCTCTAGAATATTAAATAATTAGGAAAAAAACTCACTCTAATAATTTTGATCACTTGGATGTCTGATTCTAGATTCTAAACTAGGGGGAGATAAGCTAGTAGTAAAATGCAGTCGAGAAATTCTTCATAAAAACTTAGGGGCTGGTGGCCAGTCTAATTTCCCACCTGCAATAATGATTCCGTAACGTACTCCTTCCGCTATCTTTTGACCATTTGGCAACTTTTCGCTTCGTAGCTGACACGGTACAACACTTTTCTTTCGCTTACAAAGAAATGGTGTGCTATGCGCATGCGCTAGTAGAAGGAAACGCCTGAACAAAACGTTGGTCAGACAGGTAGAAATACCGATGATTATCTTAGATTTAATCATTTTGATGAATCTATTTCAGCCAAATCCGATCGTTGTTTTCCATAAGGAAACACTTGATATGTTGAAAAAAAGACACACAAAAAAGTTGCTTCACCGTGATGCCCCTTTAAAACATTGATATATATGTCAATGTTTATCTGATATTGCAGAGAAGATGTTACTTATAAAATCAAATGAAAATGTGATATAAAAAATGACAAGTGATTTATATTATAAATGACCTTACCGGATTCTCCAAACTTTCCTTTGTTCTATGCATCTCCATACTATCTGAAAATGGCACAAATGATCCGGAATAAAATTAATCCTAGCAAATAATGCAGATGATGAAACCGTATTGTACAATACTTTAGGAAAAACATAGAATAAACAATGCTTTGATTCATACATTGCTGCTCCAATCGTTCTTTTGAAATACAATTTTTCAGTTTTTCAGTTCAGTTTTTTAAAAATATATGTCAGAACAACGTTATAACTAATATTGTAATATTTTTCGTAATAATTAATACTTTAATATTTTTTAGTAATTAACAATGCTTTGATATTTTGAGTAGATAAATAAACTTACGTTAGTATTCAGTGTCTACCCAGGGTATATGGCTTACAGTACTGCAGACCTCTCCTCTGTATGAGCTTGTTAAAAAAACAAAATGTAGAAACAAAACCTGTCCACAATCTCTGCTAACTTCCTGGTTTATCTAAACCCCGCTACATTCAATCTTGTCACGAATAAGTATCTGGTCGAGAGCTGCTGTTAATCACAGTGTGCAATAAATTAGAATATTTTTGGCAAAAAAAACTAAGTAATTTTAAAACATTACCGTTTTCGACATCATATGTTAAAAAAAAGTCATTGTTTATTTTTGTCAACTGTTTCTCTCTCTCATGTACACGTATAAAATAGTAATAAATATTTAGCGATAAGTGCAGTCGTCAGATTTACAATTTTATCAGGAAAGGTTGGCAACGTTCGAAAGTAGGTTGAAGTGTATCTGTATCGGACCTATCACAGACACATGTACGTGCACAAGATTTACACGATTTGACTATCGATTTTGATAGACCTTTGTGATCCCGACAAGTAAAAAGGAATAACATAACTACCAGGATATTATTAAATCGTTAAAATGCATATAAGTAACGAGGTTTGGTTATTTTTTAAGCTGTATGGGTATTTTTTCAATTAGACAACATTCCTTGAAAATGGTTCAGAAGATGTCAAGTTTTAATATTGTTTCGTATTACTAGCTGATGTAATTATTCTGTTAAACCCTACGAACAAAGGAAAACTGAATATTAATAGCGCTACATCTATGTCGATAGTAACGGTATATCTATTAAAATGTAGTTGACCTGTAATAGTGTTGAATCACATTATATTGTATATACCGACGCTAGTTACACGCTGCCCAAATTCCCTCTTTTTATATGATAGTTTAGTGATATAATATGATGAAGTGGAATTATTCAATGATTGACACAGTAACGCATCCTTTATTGCATACAAATTGTCAACAAACATTTTAAAAGTCATTTAGGGTGTTATGTAGATTGAATATCATCGGATTTTGCACATTTAACACGTTTTTTTTCTTCTAAAAACAACCAAAGTTAATATTCTGATCAATGTAAGGTTATCAAATGAAAAATCAAATATTTAACGACACACTTGAATGAAGCTATTAAATAATTATCGCATAATCAACAAGATTTGTTTAAAGTTGTTTCGTTTGTTTTTATTAATGCTTATTAACTATCGCTTAATGTATTCCTTATGTGTTCATTAATATCTTTGTATTTATATAAGTATGTCTTCTTAGTTGTATCTCTTTATCATAAGGTCACGGAATGACATGTGTTTCCTTGAAGGGGCATCACGGTGAAGTGTATATTTTTTTTTTTTTTTTTTTCAAATACTTCATAAACAAGTGAGTACCTTATGAAAAAATAACGATCGGATTGGCTGACAAATATTCATAAAAATGAATAATTTTTAGATAATCATCGGGATTTCTACCTGTCTGACCAACGTTTTGTTCAGGGTTTTCCCTCTACTAGCGCACGCGTATATCACACCATTTCATTGTAAACAAAATGGCTAGCCGTGTGAGGAAACCATTACCGCGTCAGCTTCGAAGCGAAAAGTTGCCAAATGGTCAAAAGATTACGTTACGGAATCATTATTGCAGGTGAAAAGTATTCAAAGGAGAAAATAACTGCCCTAGCAGTTAGTACGGTGCATGTATTCTTCCGGATAGCCGGTTAAAGCTGAAATGAAATCGACAGAAATACTGTTTATGTTATGAATAAATATCTAAAACTATTAACCTCGCTAGTATCTTTGTCTGAGTTGGAACACAGATGAACTTATTTTGTGATGTTAGTGTATGCGAAAGGAGGGATGAGTGACTCGTTAGTTTGATTTTGCTATGAGGCCCTCCAAGGGATAACTGTTGTGATAGCTACGGCGTATTCTGTTCTCTCCTCTATCGATACTCGGGGTCAAATGAGATACGTGCGTTATTTTAGATTTACATAATTTATAATATTCCCGGGTTCAGTAAAATGGTATGATTTAATTATATTGCTTAAGCAAACGATTTTTTTATTTACATGCAAGATTTAAATATGTCAAACTTTCGAGTAATTTAGATAAATGAAACGCATATGTATTGTCCATATATGTTGTAACACTTTTTAACTAGAATTTAATTAGTTTGTATTGTTTCCTTGTAGGGTCTTGAATGTCTTAAATATATTTAAAAGAAATTAAATAAATTTTCATGGAGAACGAAACCGTCTTTGTTCTAGAGGGAGACGAGGATTCCGGAAATTCCGACCCGGATCCAGCCCTCCTCATCGTAGATTGGCCACCCTTTCCCCGTTTCCGTTTTCGTTGACCACAGCGGAGCACACATGTGTGTTGTGATACATTTGTGTTTAGCAGCTTATTTAGCTGTTGTGTTGGTTATCATTTCTAATGGAAGGATCCTATCCATTTTTCTGTCGAGTATCAACTTTCCGCGTTTATGCATATCAAACTTGACATAGCAACCCTGTTATGTCAATTATTCTTCAAATTTTGTCAATCTTGGTGGGATGTTTCGGCAGAGTGTTGTCCCTTTGGCATTGTGGGTCTAAGCTCCTGTCATTGCCAAATCAGGATTTTGTGTAGTAAAGCAAGATTTTTTTTGATTTTTTAATCAATTCCTTTTCAAATTTGCTATGGTAATGCTAGAAGCAATAATGTTCAACATATGTAACGGGTTTTTGTGTCAAATTTCATCTTTCTGCGTTTTGACGTATCACACTCGACAAAGCAGCATTGTACTTCATTTTTGCCNCATCTAGAAACCTAAGATATGGAATAAATACGATAAACAAATATGCAAAGTTGTAATTATTTACTAAACATTATTATCTACTGCTAATTTATCGTAACTAGCCACTATAGATAGGAAATCTCGATTAAAATAGTTATCTTCTCAGATCGTTTTATTCCATTTCGTTTTCAATCATTCCTCGCGTTTCGTTCCACCTACTTTCAATCCATTCCGTTCCTGTGAGCAAAACATGTTTCGTTCCGTTCTATTCGCGTTTCGTTCCAAACAGTGAATTTATTTTCGTTCCGTTCCGTTTAGGCCTTGTTTCATTCCGTTTTCATTTCGTTCTCGTTGCGTTTTCATTGCATTTTCATTCCATTCCGTTTGTCAACTGAAACGCTGACACCCCTGTAACGTTTGCTTGTTTACACGATAACTTAAACAATTGTTCTCCGATTTTTTATTAAACTACTTGGTTGTTTTATTATCTGAATGCTTTGAATGAGTTCTTAAATCTTGACATTTAAACGCTATTCCGCAGAGTTATGCCCCTTTATCATTGCCAAATAAGGGCATACCGTCGAAAAATGCAAGACTTTTTTTAATTATTTGTTTAAGACTCTTACCTCAAAGCCAGGGTTCTTGTTTAAGTAATAGCAACATTCACCAAAAATGTATAATTCTGAAACACAAAATAGCTTGCGCCATAAACACAGTAAATGAATGGCAAGTTCACAGTCACCAACAAAACGGTGGCAGTAACACATTTTTTATCATATGTCACTACCTGCTTCCCATATATTAATACCCTTCCGAGTGTCTGACGGGCGTGTCATGCTTCCGCTCGCGTCGCTCTTGTTTTGAGTATTCATGTTGAAATGAAATGATCTAGTCATATTCTAATTTATGAAATACTTTAGTAGCCACAGCAGCTAGTAATGTTCAATGCTTCCAACAGCGCAAAAATAATCCTGATAATTCCAAAATGAATGCCTATGCACAGGTATGACCTTCAACGGTCATTAATTTTATATAGCAATTATTAAGGCTGTTTTTCAATGAAACAGGTCCCATTTATTTTCATTTTTACATGTATCTAGATCCGTAAATAGTTATCCGATTCCTCTTTGACCTGTAGCATCATCGAAGAGTCCTAAACGGACGATACATCTGTATGGTGCAGTGTAATTAGGTTTTGGCATAATGTATGTATTATCATTTTTAAGCTGCAATCAGTTGTTTGTGTCTAGTATTCATCTCAAAAGAAACAAAGTAAGAGACTCTGCCGGCGGGTATGTTAGTCCCCGTGATGTTGTTACCTTAATGACTACCATTTTTGGATTTTGTACTTAGTAATTAATAACAAAAAGTTGTATAATAATTAATTAATAACAAATAGTTATATAATAATACTCTTTACTTATTATATGTTGAATGATTATATACCATACAATATTGGCAAAGCCTATTCATAATATTCAATGTATATAAGATTAATATTTAACTATCTACGAATCACTCTGTGGATCTTGATTTCCAAGGGAGGAACTAGTAAAGGAAGATGTCTAATATTCACTCATTACCCCGGTGAGGTCAAGATACAGCACAATTTGACCTGTAATTTCTATAAGCAATTTGAGTTATCTCCCCTATACCGTTGACTTGCACATTGATATATGTTTTGTATATAAGCTGTATCCCTTTTTCAATTTTTCATTTCGCTATAAATTATATTATATATATGTTGTTTCATACAAATGCATGAAGGAGAAAACTGATATAGGCGCTTGTTGTTCAATCCCATTCATATGCCATCGTGAATAAAATTTGTTGAAATGAAATGAGTACAATTATCTCTTTTTAGAAGTGGCACGGTTCATTTACACCTTAACATCGCGACAAATATTTAGGAATATAACTATTTCATTTTTCTAACTAATTGTAGACATGGCAAATATGTAACCTTTGGTTTCTTTGTGGCAGGTTTTAATTGTACAAAGGTTTAAGGTCGCCATCTAGCTTCGAGCTAGAGGGAATTCCCCTTTAGCTCACCGACTAGGAACCTGGAGATCGAGAGTTCGATCCCCGGTGGAAGCACACTATTCTCTTTCCTGTTACATCTTTATGATGCTTTATACTGAATTTGGTCGATGGCAGTATTGTTGCTTCGCTTTTAATAACATGGAGTATGCCTCTGCGTCAAATCCTCAAATGACTAAAGTTAATTATTAACGTTGCTAACATATGAAAACACGATACCAATATTAACTGTTTAATACAAATATATAAATTTATAGATTAGAATAACAATGTTAGAAATATTGTAAAAAATAATAAAACAAAACTACAAGTTAGTATCAATATTTATGGACTCATTGTTTTCTTGCATAGTTCATGTCTGTATGAACGCAAATGCGTTACATCTTCATTCAAAGTAAGCCCTAGCGGGTTATGTTTAATATGGATGTAAGCTATTGGTGTTTATACCGGCATGAATGTGTATGTTACGTTCATCTTTTAAGATACAAGGTGGTAGACTCTGCTGATGGACTTTTGTATACCCGAGAATTGGCGTATAGTTGATAGCCACAGTTATCTCCTCAGAGCAGTGAGATGTTTATAATATAATCACTTTACTCCTAGTGGCGTATGGAATTAACCAGTAATTATCTAAGTTTTTTCTAATATATATTTATGTTTTGTTTCAACAGTAGTTTAGACCAATTTTGTTTCCAGGGTTTTGGCCCGAAGCATCACTGATGATAACTAGAAGGACGCAACAGCTATATGATGCAATGTATGGGATATGTTTGGTATACTTATTACCTATTTCCATACTTAACCTTGAAACTACTGTGGTCATATTTAAATTTGTTCGAAATTAATGTAACCACCAGCATAGTCTCGATAGTAAAAATGCAGCAGTCATATGTTACAATACAGACATTATACATAATGTTTTTATTCGTAAAAAAGTCGACCTATGCGACAAGTGGTTATATTATAATAATAATACACTATCAACAAAGTACCAATACACCGTCAACATAGTATCAATACACTATCAACATAGTACAATACACCATCAATATAGTACCAATACACCATCAACATAGTACCAATACGTTATCAACATAGTACCAATACAACATCAACATAGTACCAATACACCATCAACATAGTACCAATACACCATCAACATNAATACACCATCAATATAGTACCAATACACCATCAATATAGTACCAATACAACATCAACATAGTACCAATACACCATCAACTTAGTACCAATACATCATCAACATAGTACCAATACACCATCAACATAGTAACAATACACCATGAAAATAGTACCAATACACCATCATCATAGTACCAATACGACATCAACATAGTACCACTACACCATCAATATAGTACCAATACACCATCAACATAGTACTAATACACTACCAACATAGTACCAATACACCATCAACATAGTACCAATACACCATCAACATAGTACCAATACACCATCAACATAGTACCAATACACCATCAACATAGTACCAATACACCATCAACATAGTACCAATACACCATCAACATAGTACCAATACACCATCAACATAGTACCAATACACCATCAACATAGTACCAATACACCATCAACATAGTACCAATACACCATCAACATAGTACCAATACACCATCAACATAGTACCAATACACCATCAACATAGTACCAATACACCATCAACATAGTACCAATACACCATCAACATAGTACCAATACACCATCAACATAGTACCAATACACCATCAACATAGTACCAATACACCATCAACATAGTACAATACACCATCAACATAGTACCAATACACCATCAACATAGTACAATACATCATCAACATAGTACCAATACACCATCAACATAGTACTAATACACTACCAAAATAGTACCAATACACCATCAACATAGTACCAATACACCATCGACATAGTACCACTATACCATCAATATAGTACCAATACACCATCAACATAGTACCAATACATCATCAACACAGTACTAATACACTACCAACATATTACCTATACACCATCAACATTGTACCAATACACCATCAATATAGTACCAATACACCATCAACATAGTACCAATGCACCATCAACATAGTACCAATATACCATCAACATAGAGTCAATAGCCCATCAACATAGTACCAATGCACCATCAACATAGTACCAATGCACCTTCAACATTGTACCAATACACCATCAACATTGTATCAATACACCATCAACATAGTACCAATACACCATCAACATAGTACAATACACCATCAACATAGTACAATACACCATCAACAAAGTCTTAAACACACTAACAACAGAGTCCCCATTATCCGAATACACAAACAACACAGTCCTCATGATTATAAATGTGAATAAGGACCAACATAGTCCTTATTGCCCTTCTACGTCAGCAATATAGTCACCATTATCATCAGGCACCATACTCATATTGTAATCGTCTAATATACTATCAATATGTTCTCCATTTTCCTCATTCAGTATACGATACAAGTACAAACATAGGACTCATATGCTGAAACACTGGAAGATATTATGCATAGAACGTTTGTTTAAATATCCGGTCATTATATCTTACAAATAAATGACAAAGCCAGTAGGACCTTGTCAGTAAAGACAAACAGGTACACATCGTCACGTGATAGTTAAAGTCAACAATATATGAGTTTTACAATATCAATAAAACAGTATTTGTTAAAGAACAATCCTAAAAAGAAATCTTGCTATAATTTGCGTATTGGGCACTAAGTTTAATCTAAGTTTACAAGATTTAAACAAAATTGTAAACCTTAAACCGTGTCACACAGCACATTGAAAGCAATGTAATAATTTAAGAAAAAATTCTGGCAGAAATCCACTATTGCATATTTTTCGAAGAATACTGGAGTAAATAGTCCTTCGTCATAGTCACCAGTGTCTTTATATACCACCAAAATAGTCATCATTGTTTTCATACACCATCGACACATTTCGTATGTTTTCAGACATTCCCCGACGAAAAATAGTAACGTTTTTATGATGGTCACATCGTTTGTTTTCTGTTGCTTAAAACCTACTGATGGTGATTAACATATTTTATTATTACAGACATGGTTACCTCATTGTTTCTCTTCAATAATATCCTTCTGATATGTTTTGCAAATGCGTCATGTTCCAGACATTTTAGCAAAAAAACACAATTTAACGGAAAATGTTAAAATTCAAACCGTAAGCCATTTGTAAATTAGTATCACAAAGAACAGTCAGTTCAATGATACTGCCACTCTGTTCACTGTAACATGTCCACGAATATTAACGCCGAGAAGTCAATCACAAAGAACAAGGTACACTGGCCTCCCAGTCACAGTATCCGTCACATTCATCGTCGACACTGAGCTTGAACCTCAGCAACACGTTGCACATGTCCTCGTGCATGACCTTGTTTTCATCGCACTCGATGTATAGGTCACACCTGTTTGGATGATTGTAGAAGCAACTCGCATTTCTACTAGCGCAAAAATTGGAATGAATAAAATCAACTTTGAGATATAATCTTTTTGTTTGAAGTATGACATGATTATCTAGCATGGATCAATAAAACCATGATACTTGAAATTCAAATAAATAAATACAGTTACTTCATTACTCAGCCAAACGTTTGTACATATACAAATGTCGTATGTTCATAGCATTGTAGAACAATACACATCAAAAACATTTCCCGTGTTATTCCTGGGAGAGGCTTTCGATTAATATTTGTTTGTACACTGATATATCTATGTTTATATCAATACATATGTACTTACAAACGTCGCAGGTTTCTGGGTTTACACAAGTCTTCTTATCTCTGAATGTCGGAGGATTCCATCCGCATTCCTGTCCGGTAAATTTGCCATCACATGTCCTGTTCCTAGTCTGTATCCCGCTGCCACACGTAACGCTGCATGCACCCCAGTCTCCCCAACTGTCGTAACATTTGAACCTGTGTTGACACCACTTTGTTTCTGAATTAGTCCCAATACATTCACCGCCGGCGGAGTTGTCACATATTCTTGTTCTGCTTGACACACCCACGCCACAAGACACGGAACAGTCAGCCCACTCTGTCCAGGTACCCCAGACACCAGGTGGGGGACAGGTCACTTCACCACAAGTTGACGATTCAAAGCCATGTCCATCACAGTCCAGGCCCAAGTGTTCAGGAGCAGGATTGTCACAAATCCTTGTTCGATTCTTTATACCACCACCGCAAGTTGTAGAACAGTCACTCCATGGCCGCCAGGAACTCCAATTACCATTTATTGGACAGTGAATTATCATACACACTTCACTGTCCGTATAAATACCGTCGCATTCCTCACCACCAAACGCTGGAACAGGATGGTCACATGTTCTGTTGCGGATCCTAGTACCATTGTCACAAGATACGGAACAGGAACTCCATGCCAACCATACACTCCAGTTTCCGTTAACAGAGCAGTTAGTAAGCTTGCAACTCTGGTTTTCTGTAGCTGTGCCTTCGCAGTAGTTTCCACCAAATGAAGGAGGAGGGTTGTCGCAGGTTCTATTGCGGGTCATGTCACCGTTACCGCATGTAGCAGAACAGTCACTCCATGACTGCCAGTCATTCCAGATACCATTTACTGGAGGATTTCCTTCCTGTGCACCTGCGGGAATTATAATTTCATTGTTGCCCTACATTTGGTATATTTACGTGATTGATATTTTAAGCCAACCTAATAGAATACCAGATTAAAGCAAGTATTACAGAAACCTTTAACATATTTCTAGTATCTTCCGGTATGTAATGGAAATCAAATGTTATTACTTAATTCATTTTAACTCCCTGATCCAATAATAAAAGATGACAACTTGTTGTTAAATTTACAAAGTATATCCTCAATCTCATTTCCAGTGTGCTTGCACTTCTGTTGGATTACCTGGTTTGAATACCGTAATATACAGTGTAGGCGCGCCGACTGCTGCAAGAATTACCAAACCAAGTACCACTACAATTATAACAATAACCGGTCGGTAGGATCGGACTTCCCGCTGAAAAAGACGAACCAAGGATTATGTGAAAAAGTTTGACTATCAAACTGTCAACATTGGGGTTAAGGTAATAGGATTGTGTCGCCATTTCTCATTAGAATTTCTTCAAATTTTGTAGTTATATTGCTTTGAAGTAAAGAAAATTTTCTGCCACAAAAAAAAATATAGGTTGTCAGAATTTTAAGGATTTTAAATGGAAATTTATGTAAAAAGGAATGAATTTTGAAAAAAAATGAAACACACAATGTTTTGCAATATAATGTCAATAAAAATGATACTGACATAGATAAGTATTGTATTAATGTATATCAATTTCATAAATGCTGAAATTGTGTAAAATCAATTATCTATAAACGATTAAAAATTGACATTTTATAATGAAACCATATACACATAGTAATTGCATGTAAGAGTTATCGTTCTTGAAAAACTTCACAGTAGTGAAATAGGTAGCCGGTTTCCTGAAGTACAGAAAAATGGACACATGTGACTCATTGATTAAAAAACAACTGAATTAATGCCTAGATTGCTTTGAAATACTTTAATATTGAAAGAACACACTGTTCTGTCAATAATAAGCATACAGTTTCATCATTTTAATATTAAACATTAGAATATACGGAAATTGTGATACTGTCTCCCTACATTGGATTTTCAACTAGGCATGTACTTCCTACTTCCGTTTAGCAATACACTCCTATGACCTTAACCTAACCGTGAGCAAAAATATGTCCTTCAATAAGATCATAATGTCAATGAAGAACAAAAATACTGCATGTATTGAGTTATGAACGACAGTCCAAACCTACGGTGCGATTTTTATGGATATAATTCCAAATTAGATTTTTCGCTTTGTAAAAGGTTCTGTGATTGGTTAGTAGTAGTACCTGTCACCAAAACAAACAGGTGTTAATATGATAAACGGCTGTTTTCTTCCATGGGACTACTTTTAAAAGTTTCTTAATCCCCATGTTTTGGTAAGCAATTTAATTGTCGTTCGGGTTGTCTCCCATCGCCTTAACTTAACTCGCCGTGAACTACATGTCAAGATCTACTGTTAATTCTGGGGTTTTTTTGTTGGTTTTTTTGTTATTGTATCTTTGTCTTATTGTTTATCTTATGTATTCGGTTAACCATATTTACAACAGTGACACGTTCTGTCATCTGATAAACCGGCGATATCAATCTGACAAAGCTCAAACTGACAATAGTTCAATGTCACATAATGGTTCAGCATGGTGATCAAAATAGTGACAATATAAGGGATTAATCTGTATGTTCCAATAATAGAAAGTATCAACACTTACAATTTAAACACTAAGACTACAACTACATACGCCACACATACCGAGGCCGAGACTACAAACATCCGAACCCCAAGGAACGCGGGGTTTGAATTACGACACATAATATCCCTCCCATGACATACACATTAAAGTTTATCATATATTTTATCCATGAATGATCCAAGAAACAAAAAACGTGACTAGTCTACCTACTTCCCATCATAATAAACACCGCTTTCCTGAAACCGAGTGTCAACCCCGACCTTTTCGTTCTCCAGAATTACCATGCCTCGACTTCACTGACACTGTTGTACACTGTCTTTATGCAGGTTCGTCTTTAAGTTGAATTATAGCGCATTCGCAAATTAAACCATTGTTTCTTCAATGTTTTTTCTCAACAAGGTCGCTCTAGCCGTTCACGTTGATAAGTTTCGAAATCCCCGAAAAAACGCTGCGATGTTACGTCATATTACTACACGAAATTTATAAATGAATGAAAAAGCTAGTAATTTGAATGATGTTTTTGGTTTTCCTTCCCATTGATAGTGATTTTGATTTATAGGGATTGAATCTGGAATTTTCCAGTGTTCAGGTACGTTTTAACACTGAACAATTCAGATTCAATCCCTATATTAATTAAGGATGTTAGTTAAAGAACAAAACCTAGGTACATGTAGGTTAAATCGACGAAAGAAATCCACATTGCTCTCTTGCAAAGTTTGATATATATTGGGGCACCAACATTCGTTCCGAACAAACAGGATTTAATTTTGAAACTTTAAAGAATATATCCTATAGCAACTTTCACTGGATGGTTTTAAAATAAAGCCACGGTATCACTCGTGACTAGATAAACGAAGCATACTGTTTTAGAAATAATAGTCTCTTTGTTAGGCGTTTGAATAGGTTTTATCATTCATCTAGTTTTAAATGTCTTTTAGATCTACTTTCTACGACTCTTAACCTATTTGTTCACATCTTTGTCCCTGCGCGATATTAATTGATTTCTGGAATTAGTCTGCCTTGCGGATTTATTTCCACGACCCAATTCCTCTATTCAAGGAAAAGACATTACTGCGATTTGACCATAATTAACTTGGAGGCTTCTGTCAGTGAACTCGGAAATACTTTTATTCGAAACATTTAATGTACTTATCTTTGTACATTTTCGAGGTTCCCCATTTACATTTACCTTTATTCATATGTTTTCATAGGTTCAGTGATTTTAAGCTGAAATAAGTATTCGCTCTTATTTTTGTCAGGGTATTGATGCAAGGCCTTCATTTTACAAAAACGTATAATGCGTTCATTTACTGAGGCAATACCAACGTCACATTGTACGTCACAATGAAGTAGTGAGTGCGAATCATTGTCATCAATGAACCATCAATACAATTTACAGCTAGTGGGTAGTTAATAATACTTACCTTTGGTAAAACATCTGCTAGATTGTCGTAAATATGTTGTCCCTGTAAAATAATTATACATCTTGGTATTCTTGCACATTTGCGACATAATAGTAAGTTTTAATGATACAAAGAATTACCAATGCGCTTTCTTTATCAACGTATGGTAATTGACTCTACACGAGGGAGTTTTGTGTGAGACACTCAGTCCAGTGTTGTCAAGCAGTTGTCGATCTGAAGGGCAAAAACTAAAAAAAATAAAATAAGTGGACATGCGTCAAATGTTGGTCACAACGGAATTTCGAACACGCCACACAAAATCCGCAACAAAATCCTGCTAGCAAAAATTGATAAGAACCAAGCTACAGTATGAATGTGGAGCTCCGGAACACTAGGATGTACATGAACTTAACCGACGCCAGTGTCGTAGCTACGGATCTGGATCAAATGGGGTTTGACGGACGAAATTTGCAGATTGAACAAAACAATTACCTACAACGAACCTCGAAAAACCAAAAGTGTGAATGAAAAGTTTTGCTAGCTGTGTTGATATCAAAAAACATTGTAAAGAAACAAAGAATAATATAATAATAGTGTGAAGTTCTGAAAAAAAGATATCTTCGAAAAAAAAATACGTTGAATTTTGCATAAACGGTATATATATTATACTAGATAGTAACACCAAGTCCTTGATAAGTCCCCTCTGATTCTCATTTTCCTCCTTTTACGGAATTTTATCACCGACTATTTGTTGTTTCAACAAAGTTCAGCATTTTTTCTTGGTTATTTATATTTTCTACAACTTCACACAACTACATATATTCGTTTACTGCAGCTACATGTAAATCTAAAACACATTTCGTTTACGAGTTGTTCCCCCTTAGTTATCAGTCACACAGCTGTTACTTATGAAATTTTGAAGAGATTGAAGTACGTTGACTACTACAATGTAACTGTTCCATTCTTATAATACAGTACGTGAGCGTCAAAAGATAGACATGCCTATAAACATGAAGTGACTTTACTAAGTGTAACATTATACAATCCTATCAACATTTTCTGACCTTACTAAGTGTAACATTATACAATCCTATCAACATTTTCTGACCTTACTAAGTGTAGCGATAAATAATCCTATCCACATCATCAGACATTACTAACCCACTCATTTTCGAACAGTACTTCGGGAAATTAACAAACTATACGAACACCGCACTTTAGGCCTCTATGGACAGATATATTCAAGAGGTGTTACTTTAACTATTAGACATCAATGATTCATAGACATCTTTTATTATCTGTCATCCAGAATAGGTGTGTTCTACACAATGTGTTTTTAATTGTTCGAAGAAATTGGAATATGAAATTGTTTAATTAGACATATCCTACAATGTAGAACCTCAATATGTAAAGAGTTGATATGACTTAGTTTAAAGCACTAGGGTTATGTGGGTTTTCTCCAGGTACTCCGGTTTCCTCCATCATTATGACCCCTTGCGGCACTAACATCCTTGCCAACAAGTGATTGATTTACAATGACATAACTTGTTTCATAACTGCTTTCAAATAAATTAAGTTGATATATAACCATATTTATAAATATATATATATATATATATATATATATATAGGACTCGAAGTTTTTCTCGCGCCGTGTTTACACGAACTACTAGACATAAGGTGTTTCACTACATTCGTTCAGATGTTTATTATAAATCCACTTGACCTCACGTATTCAAGATGAATTACTTACTATTAATAGCCTGCGGTTACAAACTAACCGAGGAGATATGCAATTTCAACAGCAAGTAGCTTCTGTTTGTTTATGTATTTTGTAATGTACTAATGTTTCATGGTGACTATTTCTCTATGTTCTATGTGTGTGATATGTAAACTGGTATGTTCCTGTCTTAATAAAGGGGCATGTCGACCTGAAAATTGACAATTTTTTTTGTCTGTACTAACGTTATTAATTCTTTGCTCATATATCTATTTAAGAAATACGCATCCAACCAGCAATCGTATGTTTGGATCCAGTGCAAATATTGGAGCATACTGCCGTTATTACTTATGAGACCTATATATATATATAAAGGATATATATGACATGATCAATAATTAAAGCAAACATCAGTCGGAAATGACAAATGTAAATCGTACTTACTGAAAGCGTGTGTGATCCAATGGGATTGAACTGGAAGGGAAAACATGTTATGACGGTATCATTAGGTTATCAAAGAAGTGTTTTACATGTATTATGTTTATTGTCATCTCCTAGGATATATCACCGATATGGTATGACAGATGACATACAGAAAGAATACAATAACAGTCAAGGAACAATAAAATATGACGTCATGATCAGCTTTCAACAAGGGAGGTCAATTGTAAATTAAGGTAAAACACAGACTACAAATGGTAAAAATGAATGCTTTTAAAAACATAAGTGTTAGATTAGAGAAAAAGGACCTCCCCCTTTGATAAGGGTATGCCAGAGACATCTCAAGTTTCGTGGTGAGATATTTGAATGTCTAGCTCTCGGTTTGATGTTTACCGCGGGTTACACAGTCAGGAATATAGATCCAATTTGCATTTGAAACTGTAGTAGGGCAATCATTCTTTTACATATTTGACTCTTAAAATATTAGCTACGGATATGTATTGTTTTAAAGTGTAAATATTGTTAAGGTATTCAATCTATAGTTGAACAACATAAATATTTATCGATGGATTATATTAATGCAATCTCATACATTGGAAGCAATGTCCACTGGATGCAGGTAGTGCGTCTGGTCGGGGAACTGATCAGCACAATGTGGACCCCTTTGATTCACAATCCTAATGTTGTTGTCGTAATCAGGTGGTGGAATATAAACCTTAAATGAAATAGGGATTGTTCATGTCATTCATATACAGAGATATGTAGAGAATATCAAATAAATTAAACTTGACTGCATTGTCGATTTGATAGAATACTACATTACTTTTTTCAAACACTATATTCTTGTTTTTAAATAACATGAAATATTTGCCTACATCGATAACATATATCCTCCATAGCTTGGAATCAAGGACACCACATACTCTCCAGCTGCTTTCCACGATTTTTACTTACACCATGGCAATTATAGACGGCTAACTACGAAGCTGTAAGATAAGCAGTGCGATTTCACCCTTCCGATCGTGAACTTTCCCTGTTTTGAAAGCAGTATCCCTGCTTCAAAAACCTACGGTGTTTATACTTCGCAGTTACCTCGGCACTCAGCAGTTGGTTCCATATACCACGACTTTCACTATAGATGTGGACTGCTGACGGACATACTTACAACACAGGATTTCCAATTATGCAGATCGATGAAGACTATTGACAAGTTTTATGGTCGACATAATGATCTCGTAGGAAGAAAAGATACTTCTCCGTGTGATATGAAGTTGACTGCTTTTCATTATGCTCACAGAGAGTGCTATACGGTTTTGTTGTCACTAAACGAGTCCTAGATGCGAGGACTTAATATTATTTAGATTCGACGTAGATTGCTATGGTGTATGTCATCAATGAAGCAGAAGACTGTTACCGCCTACCCTCCTTGAACATCTATTGTTATTATCGTTGTACTTTTTCAATGGTTTCCTTGTAATTGGGATTTTGTTGACAATTTGGTACTCACTTGCTATTGTTGTTGTATTTCAAATACTGTATTATTGTTTCAATGCTAAACCATCTAAATATTATACTCCTCTATCTGCTGGGTGTCGGCAGTATTTAATTATACTCCTCTATCTGCTGGGTGTCGGCAGTATTTAATTATACTCCTCTATCTGCTGGGTGTCGGCAGTATTTAATTATACTCCTCTATCTGCTGGGTGTCGGCAGTATTTAATTATACTCCTCTATCTGCTGGGTGTCGGCAGTATTTAATTATACTCCTCTATCTGCTGGGTGTCGGCAGTATTTAATTATACTCCTCTATCTGCTGGGTGTCGGCAGTATTTAATTATACTCCTCTATCTGCTTGGTTTCGGCAGTATTTAATTATACTCCTCTATCTGCTGGGTGTGGGCAGTATTTAATTATACTCCTCTATCCGCTGGGTGTCGGCAGTATTTAATTATACTCCTCTATCTGCTGGGTGTCGGCAGTACTTTATTTTACTCCTCTATCTGCTGGGTGTCGGCAGTATTTAATTATACTCCTCTTTATGTTGGGTGTCGGCAGTATTTAATTATACTCCTCTATTTGCTGGGTGTCGGCAGTATTTAATTATACTCCTCTATCTGCTGGATGTTGGCAGAATTTAATTATACTCCTCTATCTGCTGGGTGTCGGCAGTATTTAATTATACTTCTCTATCTGCCCGGTGTCGGCAGTATTTAATTATACTCCTCTGTCTGCTTGGTGTCGGCAGTATTTAATTATACTCCTCTATCTGCTGGGTGTCGGCAGTATTAAATTATACTTCTCTATCTGCTGGGTGTCGGCAGTATTTAATTATACTCCTCTATCTGCCCGGTGTGGGCAGTGTTTAATTATACTTACAGTCTGCACTAACATGTCAAATGCAATGTTATTATTTAAAATAAAATATCATCGAATATGTTTTAAGGAACTCACAATGACGGATGTCACAATAATAGTAAAACATGCCTTGTACTCCGCTGCAGACCGAACAATAGAGAAAATCTCGATTATATAATTATTAATTATATCGCTCAGACATTAAAGTGTGAAAGACAAACGGATAAATAAACAGACACATACAAATTCCGATCCCGATGATTTTGCCTGAAAAGGCAGTTTTAATGATTTGAGAGGTTTTGTATGAGCGACAACATTTTTGTATTGTATGTGGAAATTTACTTAAATGTGTTACATTACCGATGTTATTGTACAAGAAAAAAGATTAGGAAACAAAGATTGTTTAATCCTTTTCAGTTGCAAGCCAACTTGTCTGTGATTTGCTGAAATTATTACTGATAATATTTGAATTAAAGATTTATCTAACGGGTCGGGTTTTTAATGTGTCTGTTTGTCGGGTAGTATAATTATTTTCAAGATGTTTTACTGTTAGAATTCACAAGGTGTTTGTCGGGTCGGATTTAAATGTTTTAGATGAAAGGATTCGAATTTACTACATGTACATATTTCAGGTGAAATATTATCATCATGTATGACATCAATGATCTACAGGGCGTATTATAATTTGTATCAACTGAATGCACCGCAGATTTAAACAATTCCTAATAAGTCTATTTCGCTGTTACAAAGTATACATGTTGTTACGTGTATCGAAAAGAAACACCTTCAAACACACTGTATAATACAGAATGTAGTATATTTCCCCCTCGCCAAGCCAAGATTGCAGTCTAATTATAATTGTAGTAGACAGCAGCTATGCAGGCAGTGTTTGAGGTGGCCGGTCCTTTGAGAAAAACCCGTTCTTGTGCTGAATGCTTATACTTTATCTGAATATCTGACTAGTGTTATGTTTTGTTCTTTGTGTATTTTGTAACCGAATAGCATAACATTTAGTAAATTACAATGGCACTGGTACTTTATACATGATTGCACTACCTTGCCTGTATGGCAATGCGATTAAAAACCAAATCGGTACGAGGTCCTTACATTCTATCTAATTTATTTAGGAGGTCAATGGAAGGCAACATAACAGATATATCGCTTGTAAATGTGACACTACACAAAATTCAAGATAAAATATCCAATGATGATTAAAAACGTTCACTCAATATAACTTAAACAATTGTCAATCTTACACAGTGGCCAACGTGTGTCTTTGTTTTGTTCGTCAGGAAAGGTCAAGGTTGAAAGCTTCTTAATTATCTTTTTTTTTTTTTGCCGAGAAATGACAAAATTGAGCAATGCTTAAAGCTGATAGTGCAAATTAAAAAGCTTAAAATTGAGATTAAAAAAAGAGTAACAAATGCTATACAATATTTACAGAATACATTATACACACTTTTAATTCTCTATCATTAAACACAGTAATCGTTATATCACTGGACACATTACTTTGCATACAGGTGTAATTGTACACTTGAACATTCCGCTAACAATGTTACACAACGTGAAATGTTACAAGGAACATAATTTGCAAATGTATTCTTTGGTGGTTATTTACATATTATGTTAAACGAATTCCTATCAGCTTCACAGGACAAAATGACATTCAGGATTATTGTTGTGTCGTGTTTATCAGTTATGACAAAAATCATGTGAGTCTCGAATCAAATTAAATTTACTGCAATGCAGTTCGTGTTGAAATTGTCTGAAGATCATCTCCATTTATCTTCCACTGGGATCGACCATAGAAATATAAAAAATATTATGTTGATAACAGAAACTTGTACAAGTCTATCATTAGGTACAGCATACCGGAGTTTGTGCGTGTCCATCTTTGATTTGATGACATTAAAATAAAGTGGTTCACTGAACGTTAGGTGTCATGGACCATGTTGATACATGTAACATTCAGCATTCATTTCAGTATCATGGGCCATGTTGATACACGTAACAATCAGCATTCATATCAGTCTTTACAATTGAAGGGACAACATTCGGAAAATTCATTAAAACTAACTTGAGAAGAATCTGAAGTATCTAGCCATTGACGCTACTGGGCTCAGTGTAATTTTGACGCTTCTTCTCTTGTCTCGCACAATATTAAACCATTGTAAGAAGCAAACATCAGAGTGATTGTTTTTGCAAATGTGTACATAAATGTTATAATGTAACAAGTGATAGTGATCTAATTTACTAAAATCAAACACGGATGGCAGACATACATATGTTTGAAGTATATTTTCCCACATTTATATACCTGTATCTTTCTTAAACATCCTAAAACTGATATCTAAAGAACTTTTCAAGCAAACAGAGACATGCTTCGGATTTAACGTCAAGTACCAATGATTGAGAGATGTCCATCATGTATTTTATCTAACAGGTAAAACAGGATATTTTTGAATACATGTATATGAATTATGAAAAGTTGTTGTCAAGGTGGATTTAAAGCATTGGTAATGTGTTTTAAGTACAGAAGGCATTGTTCCTCTTTGTTGTTAAGAAGACGTTGTTTGTAAGATGAAATAAAATTGACTTAAAAAAATGGCAACCCTTTTATATTAACACCAATCATTCCAAAAAGAAGGTGTTAATTTTCTTTCGCAAAGTGAGACTAAATGAACTTACCGGATTACCCCAACTTTCCTTTGCGCTATGCATCTCCGTACAATCTGAAAATGGCGCAAGCGATAAGACTTAAAATTAATCCCATCAAAAGAAAAAAAAAGGAAAAAAAGATCAAATGCTCTGATACAAACATAACTGTCCACATTGTTCTTTAAAAAAAAATATCTTCAAATTGTATTAGTTAAAGATAATTGTTCAAATCACAACAATGGTATAATGTATCGGTTAGATTTTAATAAATATAAGACACTTACCTTAATATATCAATGTCTGCCCAGTAAACCAGCTGCACAGCAGTACAGATCTGTCCTCTGTATGTGCATAATTAACAAAATAATGAAGAACCAATCTATCCACGCGTTGTGCCAACTTCCTGGTTTATTTTTAACCTTTCCCCAAATAAGTAGGCAATGAAAAGGTATTGAATCACCTGCCCGACCACGTGGATTTTCTCCGTGTAAACCGGTTTTCTCCCACTATAAGACCCCTGTGCGCTAACATGTAAGGTGGAAACCTTTTTTTAAAATTGCTGTTTAATAAATAAAGATTATCTTTGAATAAGTAAGCAATAGGAATCGTCTATACATCACAGTGTTTAACATTTCTTTTTTCTTTTCAAACATTTCTTTTAATTTTCGAAGTTTTATCATATCTGACAACACATATCTAATAGACAAAAAGGCTCGTGGCTTGCTTTGCTATCATGTTCTCTCTCCGGTATGAAAAAAGTTATAAATTAACAGCGATAATTCAAGTCGAAAAGTTTACTTATTTGATAAGGAAAGGTTGGAAACTCTCGAATGTCGGCTGTATTACATCTGTGTGAAACCAATTAGAGTCAGGAGTATAATTATGACACAATTTGTGTTTCATTCGCCTATTGATTAATGTACTGACCATTGTTATCCCAACAGCTGTTTGATGCAGTGCTTTTAATAATGTATATTCGAATAAATCACACAGGAATGAAATATATATGTATATATATATAACAAGCCAAATAAGGATTTGGCGCGAAGCAATGGTTATTCTTTATCCACATCCTAAACACAACAGTCCAAGTTGCTGTTGTCACGTGTATACAAATCATACAGCTTATATATCATTTGTCGATCGCTATATTTCAATGTTTGAGGGCATACATATTGTTTTTATCGCTTTGACCGATCATGTACCCGAGCGGTGAAGATGAACCACGTAGCTATAAAGCTAAGTAGTATTTGTTTATGTTAGTGTCAGGTCTCAGAATTGTAAAGACACAATGTTCAAGTTTGTGTTCCAATTGCTTGTTGATACGGAACATTAAGTAAAACGTATGCACATAATTTAGATAACAATTACATGTAGTACAGGTTTTAGACAGTGTCATTGTCTGTGCATATCACTCTATTTCTATTGTAGCCTTAGGTTTTGTATAATGTGTTTAATGTCTCAGATTTAAAAACAACAGTAAGTTTACATCTCCTTCACTGGACTTGTAACTACCGTGTGTACTTAATGGTTTCAGGTACCTATAGTAACATCATAAGAACATGTTCACTATTTAATGACCTAATAAATGGTTTATAATAGATAAAATATCGACCAATTACATAACCGCACCTATTAATAAGTAAAATTGCCAATGATAAAAGTAATAGTAAAAAAGAAAATGAAAGTTGAAAACTAATTAAACTTTATATGTATTTCAAGTTTCAGAGAATAAATTATAAGTAAGAGGATTCAGTCCTAATTATATACTTTCAGATATTAGAATTTACACACATATATATATTCAAAGTATCCGCGATCATCGTACAGTCACCCCTATTGCATGTGTTTTTTTTTATTATTGTCTGTGTTAGTGTTATAAACGGCTTGTTCTCGTTTCCCCCACTTTTTAAAATAACATGAGGGAAGAATGTTGTTAGAAGGATAATAGTCTGTTTCTAAGTAGTATGGGCAGTATTTATCTGTGTTTTCACCTGTGTTTACCTGTGTTTTTACCTGTGGTGAACCCTTCTATCTAAGGTGGTGTTTTATCATATTTAATTTAATAATACATTATACAAGTTTTTTCAGATTTGTAATAACAAATGTAAATATTTAAATTATTTAAATAGTAATCATATATATAAATATATATATTCAGTATTAAATATATCCATTGTGTAGTCCTTGTGCTGGTTATATGATAAGATGAAATGTGTTATTTCATTTTCTAGTACTTAAATATTAATATAAATAGTTATTAAATAATCTGTACTATTGTAACATTTAATAAGATGCCTACATTACCTTGTACAAAATGTAAATGTGTGACTAAGAGTGTGGTGTTTAACAGTTAATTAATCAGTTAATTAATCAAAATTCCTTGATGTTATAAGTATCTTATAACTATCATAAAAAAGGCCCAGCAGACCGGACTTCAACAACTTTACAGAGAGAACGACAGCATCAATCGACTTGTGCGCTTGGCCGCATTTGTTCAACGCTTTAGGTGAACTTGAGGATGCTGACCTACCCGTGAATACAACACCTTTCACAGACTTCGTCGAAACCCTGTGGATCGAGGGAGATCGTCATATCTGGAACCATTACAACACTGAAGGACCCGCACCTGCATTCACCTAGAGGTCTGGCACGGGAAGTTGAAGAAGAAGGTTCACCATGCACACCCAAACATCTTCGCCATCACCAGAGTGTTCCAGGAGATTCAGGCAGCCAACGAGATCAACAGGATACAACGAGATGCAGGAGGAGTCAACTGACCACGCGAGAAACGAGACCGAAACATCAGCAGCCGACTGACCCAGCTGAAGGAGCGCCTTGAGAACCAGACGAAGGATCCTATGGAGTACGCCAATGCAGCATGACATCTCTTACATTTGGGATAGATAACAACAAAAATGTGTGCCTCTTGGCTGTTGGAGATACATGTATGATATAAATTTGAGGGGGGCAAATTTGAGATTGCTATTACTAAACTTTACTATTCTTAATATGTGAATACGTATTGTTAATGTATTTGTATTGTGTGATTAGTCAATGTAATGTACAGTTTATATTTATGGATTTAACTTCTTAACATATTTTGAAATGTAATGTTAAAGTTAACTTGTCTTGTATTTGGTGGCCTAAACAGTGTAATATTAATAAATATGTTTAAAAATTGTAATATAATTGAAATGTAATCATTATGTATAAGCAGTGAAATACTCGATTGTGAACTCTTATGTAGTGCTGTTATATTCTATATTATCTGTTTAAAAGTGTAATGTAAATATTTGACTGTAAACTCTACATAATTATGTATAAGTATAAAAATAAATCTGTAAATATATCGATTATATATAAAGATATTTGAACCCCAAAAAAGTATCAAAACCTTCTATTTATACCCAACATATACAACAAAGCTACAAGACACACAATTAAGTTACCTGTGGGGTAAGTATGAAACAGACTATAATTGGTTCGCCATTGTCTTCCTCAATCAACACTTTCCTGTGTTATAACGAGAACACCCTTATGCACATCCATTTGTAGAGTGGCCGAGGCGACTTCTCTGCATGCTCGGTGGGCAGGTCGACTCGCCAGAAGGTGATGAGCTGTCGTACGTGACAATACCGAACTTAGACTACACTTGGTCAAGCCGCTATACGGACGTACCATGCGTACTGTTGGTCGGATCGTCGAAAACACTCACCGTTGCAAGCGATCATAAAAGTTATCAAACATAAATTCTGTAGCCTTTTTTTAGTTACCACCTTGATATTTGTATTAGAATTCCGTAACATAATTGTATTAAACATATAATAGTGTTTATGACAACAATCACCTCGCTTAATTAAACCATTATATCTTCCTTCATAAACCCCTAGTAATCTCTTTAAAATACCACAGATACATGTATCTACAATCAAACTATATTAAGTTATCTACTGATACCTAAGGTAAAGTTACGTACATCACTTACTCTTACTTTATGTTCATGTTTCTCCCTCCATGATACCTTAGTTCCCATTTGTGATATGTTAGTAAATAATCCAATACTTAACAATGCAGTACTTATATCCCCATTAAATACTTTAGAAATGAAACCATTTATTACGTAGATCTCGGGTGGAAAAAATACAAATATAGTATGTTTCTTATTCAATGTTTCCAACAACACAATAAATCCCTATTCATATGAAATGAACACATATGCACAAGTGTAGTATTCAACAGTAATCCACTTTATTTACAATGTCACCGTAACGGATCCATCTACTATGGCCGATAGTGGCCGCCACATCTTATATCTAATATGTTTAGGACTTTTGCATGTACATTTCTTGAAACTTTTACATATACACATCTAAAACTTATACCGATTAACATTATCCGTAGCTTTTGTTTAGAATAAAAGATACCGGTCTATTTCAATTGACAAGTCGAGTATATTCTGATTAAAACTGCATAAAGTAGTTGCAATATTACGTGAACTGCTGAGAGACTTTAAATATTGTCGGCATGAAATATCAAAGGTTTACTTTCTACACTAACAATGTACGTATTTTACGTGTCGCAACGTTCCGGACGACTGGTCCCTTATCTATCCTATGACTGAGTGAGCGATTTGTATTTGCACCTGTACAACGATGTGACAAAAATGTATATTTTCTATGTCACTCGACCCGAGACGTTTCGCCGATCGATAGGGAGCGTAAACACACTGCATCAGATAGGTTACATGCATGGTGTAGATCTAGCCCCCTCTCCCGTTTTGTCAGTATTGGGTCATACTGATGACGCAGTTGGTGTCCCCTCGTCTCTGTTGATGTTATCTTATTGCAGATACTGCCGGTAGGATTTTTGAAAGCTTGTATAGATGGAAAGACCTTTGCGGCTATGGGGGATATTTGTGTGTTTTTTTTTATCTAAAATCATTTTTATTGTAAATCAAACAGCGTATTATGTAAATGTAAATGTTTTGTGTTGACATTTTTACAGTAGGTTAATGAACTTTATACAGAAAATATATATACTGTGTTGACTTTATTGGAGGGAACCACAAATGTGAAACTAACCAGCCAGGATTTTATCGTGATTTATCCAGTAGTTCGTCGACTTTCTTTTGCATGCTGAATTGGGAAGGCAGCTTAATACATATATGTCAAAACAGTCAGTGTTATTACCTTCATTCACCAATATTTCTATATAGTATACCAAATGATATTGACTGTTGACAGATTGATGTCATCAATGGCAAAATCAACGCAAACACAAGATATATAACTCGTATATAAAGTAAACACAGAATAGTTCCCTTCTGTATAATGTCAACATTGAACATTTACCTCCGATAAAAAGTCATCACATGACATATACCTCCTATATAAGGTCAACACAGGACATAAACCTCCTAT